ATACATATATATCTAGGAATTTCTCTGGAGTTGTTGCGGTCAGTGTAGGTTCAGTTCAATTTCAGATAGCTCCTCTTTCCAGCTTACACTTCTCGATATCTATAGGCCCCTTCCGGTGTAGTCAGTGTTACCTTCAGGGATTTTAATCTGTTGCACCGGTTCTTTCTGAAGCGGTTCCCTTTGTTTATTTGGCTTCTGTTTGCTGTCTCTTCGGTGTCTAATTTCCGCCCTGACACAGGCTGGCGGAGGTGATCTCTTATTTAGGTTCTCTAGTTCAGTTCAGTCCTGCTACGGGGAGGGCGGGGTGCTGCAGACAGATACCGCTCTGTGTGGATGGCACTCACCGTGTTCCGGCCACACTGGGTTTGCCCCGCTCACGGGTGTCTGTGCTTTCCCCGTCTACACTGCTCAGGCTCCTGGCTGCTCTATATGGAGTGGGCCCTGCGTTGAGTGCGGTTCCAGTTTTCGGGTACTCCACAAAAGCGCAGATTCGGTTTCGCCTGCGTTTTGTGCCTTTCCCGGCCTGAGCGGTTCAGGCAGCCAGAGGCTTGGGCGCCCTCTCCCCGGGTACGGCGCGCTTTTCCCCTCCGCGGCCCCAGCGCGCGCCGCCAGTCGGGTCTCAGGAAGTCTTTAGATAGGAACCGGGGGCCTGTTTGCAGTGTGGGAGGGGGTGGCTTCTCAGGGGCTGAGTTTGCCCTTTTCCCCTCCCCCCTGCCTCCTACCTCCAGCGGGGATGGGCAGGCTCTTCTCTGGAGATTCTCATTCCCTTTGTTTTGCGAACCGCCGGCAGTGTGTTCGGGCCGGTTAATTTTGACCCTTGCTCTCTCACAGTTTAAAAAAGCTCCCTCCGATTGCTCTCAGCGTCTTCGGGCCGGTCCTTACCCTAAGCAATGCCGCCCTCTCCTCTGCGTTCCGCCCCCACTTGTTGCTGGCGGGTACGGGCGTCTGGGGTACTTTTCTGCTGGGAGTTGCTTTTAGGGACATAATCTGTGGGCCTTGTTTGGTTTTTCCTCCCAGTTAGATTGCTGAAAACTTCCCCCAGTCCCGCCAGTGCGAGGGTTTCCTGGTGATTGGAAACTTCCTCTATTAAGACTCCCTTCCCGGGACGGGTCTCCGTCCGTAGCTCTTTGTCTCCCTTTTTATCTTTTATATTTTGTCCTACCTCCCTTCGGAGACAATGGGCTGCTTTTCTGGGCGCCTGATGTCCTCTGCTAGCGATCAGAAGTTGTTTTGTGAAGTTTGCTCAGCGTTCACATGTCCTTTCGATGAATTTGTAGGGGAGAAAGTGGTCTCCCCGTCCTGTTCCTCCGCCGTCTTGGCTCCACATCGCTGTCATTTTAGTGTTGGCACTACTGGTTGTCTTTTTCCCTTTTAGTCTGAGATCTTCTTTGCTCCTAATATGATGAGTGATTTTTCCTTTCTTGTATTCCTTTTTGAGACTGGATCTTATTTAAATCTCTGTTTTAGTTGGCTGTCTGTGATGCCCCTGGAGCAGTAAAAGTGGAAGGATGCTGCCTTATATCACAGCCAGGAGAAGGTTGAAATTTGGGTTCTACCCTTGTCCTTCATTGAAACCCAGGGTGGAAGTGTGGCGCTCTTTCTCAGATGGGGAGGAGTGGGAATCCAGCTCTTTGCAGTCGCTACTGGATTCACAGTAGTGGTGGCCTCTTACCGCTGGGGTGCTTGTGGAAGTCTTTGTCTTCCACTAAGCATCTCTGACAGTACTCCAGCGGGGAGGATGAAGAGGAGTGTCTTGTTATTATGAGGTGGGAATGGAAGTCCTGGTTTCTTGCTTGATCTTTGTGGACACCACCTAGATAAAGGTGTTGGGTGACATTTTACAACCTTGCTAGGGTGGAAGTCTTGGCTTCTCATTTGCCCTTTGCTTGCATAAGTGAGACTGTGGACAGAAGACAGTCTCCCCCACTCCTGGCCCCCCACCCTCCTACTGTGGTATGACTGAGACAGCTTTAAGAATTCCTCAGCTTGTCCAAACTATATATACCCCTCTTTCTGCCCATAGGTCTGTGACTTTCTTTTTCATATAGCATTTACTTTAGAAAACGTAATTCCTTTCTCTGCCTCTGAGATACAAATCTTTTTGAAAGCATCTAGCTACTTAAACAACCCATTAATGTCTTTCTCAAGGACCTTGGAACCATCTTTTGGAAATGTAAATATGGAAGGAGATAGTATCTCTATCTTTGAATCTGTTGACAGAGTAGGAATCTAACTTTAGTGGTCAGTTGCCAATTACCAAACCCAGATGACCTAATTATAGATAAGAACATTTGCAGAGTCAGCAATAATAATGTGCTGAACACATCCCATTCATCAATTTCATCCTCCAGTTCTTGTCCACTAGCTCATTCCCAGTGCTTAAAAACCTCCTGCTTTTTGTTTAAGTGGAGTTCAGTTTAATCTCTCTCTCCTACTGCAATAGTTGTGAAAAACTGTTTAACTCTGTCACATGCAGTTTTTGTTTTGACAAGTGTTTGGTTGGAGTGGAGTGATTATTGTCTAAAAGTTTCTGGCTTGCTGCACTACCCCTTTCTCACTCCTTTGGCTAGAGAAAGTGGTTTTTGTAGAGGTTTTTCACATCTGTACCTCTTGGCACCTATGGATTGCTGACTTTTTTCAGATACAAACCTGGAATACATGAACTAAAAAATCCCCCCAGTGAACTCACTACTATGTCGTTCTTTAAGTCTCATGTCCCTAGTCAGTCTGACTTCTCACCACCTTTCAGAGTCTTTTGGAGTTTACATTATATGCATTGTCCAGGGGATTTATTTATAATTAGTGTGGTGTCAGGGAAGGAGGAGGGAAAAAAAAACCTCTACCCCATCTTCTCAAAAGTGAAAGTCCTGACTCTGTTTTCTCCCATCACATTTGGTCTTCAAATGGCCACTTGACCTCTTCAAACTCTTGGGAGCTGTCATTATGAGAGAAACTTTATTCCCATAAGTGATGATACATTAATATTTTTTTGCAATCATTCAAAGATTTACAGTCATTGACATTATATTTAAGGAATTGGACTGCTTTTCCTTATCTTTCATAGCTAAATGTAATGCTGAAACAAGTTATGATAATAAGAGTGAGTTTAGAATTTAATTAAACTCTTTCATGTTGGATACTTAAAAACAGTGTCAAGGCTGTAATTCCTGGGATATGTGTTGTTTAGTCACTAAGTTGTGTCCGACTCTTTGTGACACCATGGACTGTAGCCTCCAGGCTCCTCTGTCCATGGGATTTCTAAGGCAAGACTACTGGAGTGGGTTGCCATCTAGGAGATTTTTTTTTTTTTTTTAACTTCAAATCAACACCCAGACCTTCTTTATTTGTTTACACCCAAAGTCAAAGAATTCAGTTGGGACAGTTTAACAGTTATGAGAAGATACTGCTGCAGCACTTAAACAGCTCTTGAAAAGTGTCCCAAGTTTGAAAGATCAAATCATGTGCTACATGATCCAGCGTCTGACAGGGTCGTCTCTGGAGCCGAAGCCCAGTCCAGAAGTGTGGAGTGTGAATTTTGTTGGGGGGCAGATGGTGAAAAGCAGGCAAGACATCCCCAACAGTCTCAGCTTTTACACTCCAGTCGTCATTAGAAAGCAAATGCGGGCCACAATCACAGTTCCCCACCTAGCCAGGGGGAGCCCAATTTCAAGGCACAGTAGAAGGCAAATCGCAAGCATCCTCTCCGGACACTCTCTGGATGATTCCATGTGATACCAGTTTAGTTCCTGATGCACACCTGATTGATTACCACCACATGTGCTAATGAAGAGTGAAAATCTAATGAAGGAGTGAGACGAGGTAGAGAAATGCCAAACCAAAGATGCATCACTTATACATGTCACATATCTGGGTAAGCACTTAAGAAATCCTGGAGCCTTTCAGGGCACTGAGACCAGAGCACATGTGCCTGGCATCTCTGCTTGCATCTCTCCAGGCAAGTCCACTTTTTGTTGAAAAATCAGGCATCACCGCCTGTACCCCCAGTATCTAGTCATCTCTAGGTGGGTCCCAAGGTATAAAAAGGTGCTCACATTCAAAATCTAGTCAGCTTATCCAGTGGAACCAATAGGATGATGCTGTACTGGGGAGATACACCTTTTCTTTATTAAAAGTTGGTTACTGACCCATAGGAGTAAAGCCATTCACTTTCTAGAGCGATGGAAATGGATAGCATTGTGCATGGATTTATGCTCCTTCTGGGCCTGTCATGCAGCAATTGTTGCCCCAATCCTGGGTTGCCTCAGCTGAACAAAAAAGGTACCAGAGCCCAAGCAAATGGCCTCAGGCCACTGTCCCCTGCCCTTTGTGGGGGTGGGCTTCCTGAAGCCTTGCTGCCTTAAGACAGACTGTCTGGAACCTCAGACAAACACGCTTCCCAGTGACCTCACCACAGAGTTCAAAGACAACACTCCTTTAAAACGTCTTTTTCTAGTGGAAAACCCAAAGCTGCAAATACTTTCCACTGCCAAAAGGTAAGGTTGGAGCCAACTGTGGTCTAAAACCTGAGGTCAATGTGCTAAGGGGACAAGATTCATTTCACAAATATTTACTAAATGCTGGGCTCAAAGACAACGTGACACACAGAGCAAAAGGAGGCTGAAATAAAAGCAAGTTACAACAACTAAAGAACTTTTCCTAAGTCACAAATGTGCACAAGTGATGGTCATATAACTGTATGAAACGACTTGATCTCTATCTCCTTCTCACTCTCACTTCCAGAGTTGTCCAAGCAGTGGGCGCTCCAAGCAGCATGTGCAGGAGCCCTGTACTTCCAAGCCCAGTTTCTGGCAGGGGAAGTGTGTGCTTCTCCGAGCCCCAGTGGGGGAAATCTCCAGCACACCCACCACCTGCCTGACCTCTGGCAGTCTGTGTGACTGAGCCGAAGACCCTGGTGGGTGCTGAAGGGGGCTGGCAGGTGGTGAGCCAACCAGGATGCAGGGCTGAGAAGGGCAAGGGGGCAGAACTCCTGGTCCAAGCTCTGGGGACAGTGTGGGCAGAACAATCCAGACCTGCCAGCAGCTTCCCCCCAGGAAGCATGAACTCTTCCCTGCAGAGTCTCTGTGGGTAAGGTGGGCAGGGGGTGGCCTGCAGTAAAGTGCCATTTGAAGGCTTCACCCTGTCTCTGCAGGGATAGGGGAGGGAGTGAGAAGACGGGCCAGGCTTGCCAGCAAGCGAACTGGCCGTCAGGCCTGAGGTAGGCCCCTTTCTCCTTCCTGAGGTCTTCTGAGAGGGTTGGAAGGATTCTTATTTGAGGGGCGATTCCCTGACACTCCCCTATAGCAAAAGTTTCTACTATGACTTACATTACACCTGAATGCAGGAATACTGAAAGCAACTGAACCTCTAATATTGTAACAAACATCATGTGAAAGCGAGAGCCATTACTGGGCTTGCTCTGTGCAAATTCCTAACCCAGCCTGCTTTCCTCCTGATCAGCACCAGGCATGAGGGGCTGTTGTTTCAGGGGGAGAAGCAACTTAGGCTAGGTGCTTTAGGCACTGAGAGTGGGGAGGAGGAGCAGACAGGCCAGCCTGGCCCTTGCAGGCTGAATCTGAAGGCAGTGGGTGGGGTGAGCCGGGGTGCAGGTAGAAGACGAAAGGCAGCAGAGCAGCTGGTGGCAGCTGGGAGGGACCTGAGCCCAACGGCTCTTCTCTCTGGGAGGGGAAGCCGAGAGTCCCCAGGCCTCATCCTCTTCGAAGGGCCCAGGGAAGCCATCCCCCCAAATCCCCTGAGCTCCGAAAAGATGGGTCCTGGGTGCTGCTTCTCCTGGAAGCAGCTGGCGGTGCCCGTGGGAGGCTGTGACTTTCAGGCACAAAGTCAGATGGCCTGGAAAAAGTATGGGCCACTGCTCAGCACAAAAGCAGGGTGTCCTGTGCTTTACCCCCCAAGGAGATGCCACTCTCTCCATGGGCTGATGAGTGGGCACACAAAGTGGGCACGAGCAATTCACTGTTGCAGTCCCTGAGTCCTTTCTCAGACCATTTCTGATGAATTTTAGGTGATGTCACAGTCCAGCCACAGCCTTGATGTGGAGCCCACAATTTTGAATGCTGTCAAGTCCCTCCCACTACTAAGCTTTTAAAGGATTAAAGTGCTCTTCATGTCTTCTTACCTGAAAACACTAACAAGACTTGGGATGAAGTGAAGGCCCCCATGAGATGATATGGGTTACTACTTAACTCAAGGCACTCGCTCCCTCCCACCCACAGCACGCAGGCCCCAGGCACAAGGGGCAAGAGCACTTTCAGCTGCTCCAATGAGGAATACAAATGTGCAAAGGGGCCAGTCTGAGGTGCAGTCTCTGGGCTGCAATTGCATCATCAGTGAGGGAAGGGAGGGGGACTAGGAAGGCTCATCTTAAAGCCAGCCCTCCTGCAGAGCACCCAGTCAGATGGCGGTGCTGGGGGCAGTGGCACAGCTGGAGTCTTGAAGGTGATTCTCATTCTCCGGGTGGGACTCCGCAGTGGCTCTTTGGAGGCCCAGGCAGGCCGGTTCCATCTCTGAGCTGTTCCCCTCCAAGAGGTTCTGGTGAATTCTCGGCTGCTGGTCAGGCTGTGGTTTCTCCTTGGAGGCCTGGTTGCAGTCATCACAGTGGCCGCAGGCACAGGGCTGTGGGCGGATGTGGGTGCGCCAGTGCTTCAGGAAGGCAGAGCAGTGGCGGAACGCCTTCCCACACTCTTGACACCTGTAGGGTCTCTCCTCAGTGTGCACTATCTGGTGCTTGAAGAGGTTGGATCGCCGGCTGAAGGTCTTCCCACACTCACTGCACTCATAGGGCTTCTCACCGGTGTGCACCCCATGGTGCTGGCTGAGGCCTGAGCGCCCCCAGAAGGCCTTTCCACACTCCTTGCCACATGAATGGCTTCTCTCCCTTGTGGACACGCTGGTGGTGAATGAGCTGGGACATGCCCTTGAAGGATTTTGTGCACTGGCTGCATATGAAGGGCTTCTCACTGCTGTGCGTGCCTTGGTGCTCAGTGAGGTTGCAGCTCCTGCTGAAGGCCTTGCCGCACACATCACAGGAATAGGGCCGCTCGCCACTGTGGATGCGCTGGTGCTCTATGAGTGTGAAGTTGTGCCCAAAGCGTTTCCCACACTCATCACACCTATAGGGCTTCTCGCCAGTGTGGATAATCTGGTGCTTGATGAGGTTGGAGCCACGTGTGAAAGCCTTTCCACACTCGCCACATACATAGGGCTTCTCACCACTGTGGATGCGCTGGTGCTCCAGGAGTGAGAAGTTGCATCGAAAGAGTTTCCCACACTCGCCACACTTAAAGCGCTTCTCGTCATTATGGATGACTCGGTGTTTGACGAGGTTGGATTTCCGGGCAAAGGATTTCCCACACTGCTGACACACGAACTGCCTCTCCATGTCTTTGAAACTCGGCTCCCTTACAACCAAATCCTGCCTACCTCCGCAGCTGCTTCCCTGCATCTCTCTTCCCTCACCTGGGGAGCTGCCTTGGTCTTTCTCCCCAGGAGGGTCACCCCTGCTGGAACCTGTCTGTGGACAACAGGCACTTTTCTGTCTGTGCTCAAGTGTTTCCTCTGACTGCCCGGCTACCTGGCCCATGTTGCCAACCTGAAGATTGGCCCCTGGGAGTTCTTTTGGACAATTATTCTCCTTTGAAATTGTCAGCTTGCTATTCATCCTGTCACCTGGAAAGACATAGAGAGCACCAACCAGCGTCACTACCTTCCTGGGTCTCAATTTAGGTTTGTTCCTTACCCTCACCCTCACTCCAAGTCTGAGAAGAGCTGAATCAGGAGTTGAGGGCGTGGGAGAGAAAGGAAGATGACCATCAGCAGACAGGAAGGCAAGAGGGGAGGAGACAGCAGTGAGCTAGAAATAGAAGAGCTGTTGTGAGACAGAGGATTCCATGGCAGATTTAAAACTTCCACGAAAGAGAATGTCCAACCCAAAGTGACCATGCCACCCTCCATCAACTGCTGCTCTTTGCCAATGGCTCAGGCAAGCCAGTAGAGCTCCCCTCACTCACCTGCCTGCATCCCTGTGGTGATCCTGTTGACATCTGCTACCCATGGTTCCTCTCCTTGCTCTAGCTGGATGACCAGCTGAGGCTTGGAGAACGACAATCCTGTCCATGGAGAGGAAGCAGGTTAATCACTCCTGGACTCAGTCTGGCATTAGTATCTTCAGGACCAGAGAATGAAGAACTTTCTAGAAAGTATCACTGGGAAGGTCCTGAGAAAAGGCACAGTCCCTCTAGGGGCAAAGAGCTCTGAGTGTATGAACAGGCTTGGCATGTATGAAGAGTCTTAAGTAGGTGGTGATTCGGGTCAAGAGGATAACCATGTTATCATTTGGCCTGCAAGATGGACAGCTTGTGGGAAATGGGGAGTTAGTGTAGAGACACTGAAGGGCAGACAGAGGGCTGGAGCAAAGCTGCAGGGAGTATCAAGAACTGAACAGAGCTAAAAGGCTGCCTGTTTCACCATGTAAGAGAGGAGATGTCTCTGTTCCTTACAACAAACCTCACTGCTGGTGAGGGGCAGAAACAACCAAGGGGGGCGCAGTGGAGGATCCTGTGCCAGCTCTTTCCAGATTTTTCCAGACTGGAAAACCAAGTCCTGGGTCTCTATGCCCTGGGCTCTATATGGCTTGATGCAAGGAACAGATGCTTCTAAACTTTATAACATGAAATGTACACAAAAGGCAACTTTGGTAAAAATAAGTATAAATTAATGCATATAAATATTCAAGGATAATTTGCACTTATCTTTTGGGTAGATGAGGTTTAGTTAACCTCTGATTTTATATAAAAATACCTATAGGCCTAAAACCATTTAGATAAAACTGCCTTTGAGGTAAAAGCTGGGCATCACTGGATTACTGACCTGATGGGGAAATGCATTTATTCTTGGAATCACAGTAAACTACAAGGAAAGGAACTCAGAAATAAACTGAGTTCTGAGACAGGTTGGGGGCCTGACTGTGTGCAGGATCCTTACCCACTGACTCCAAATTGTCATAATTCTCTAGCATCACTTGCTTGTACAGCTTCTTTTGTCTATGATCCAGAAGATTCCATTCTGCCTTGGTGAAGTACACGGCAAGATCCTCAAAAGATACTGGCACCTTGCCCATGTTGCCAACCTGAAGATTGGCCCCTGGGAGTTCTTTTGGACAATTATTCTCCTTTGAAATTGTCAGCTTGCTATTCATCCTGTCACCTGCCTGCATCCCTGTGGTGATCCTGTTGACATCTGCTACCCATGGTTCCTCTCCTTGCTCTAGCTGGATGACCAACTGAGGCTTGGAGAACGACAATCCCAGTGACTCCAAATTGTCATAATTCTCTAGCATCACTTGCTTGTACAGCTTCTTTTGTCTATGATCCAGAAGATTCCATTCTGCCTTGGTGAAGTACACGGCAAGATCCTCAAAAGATACTGGCACCTTGGGTCTGGCTGTCGGGAGCATGGCCGCCATCTTGGGGACACAGGGCTGCGTGTGGGAGGCGCGTCCTGCACGGCCGTCCCTCTGTTCAGCGCCAACGAGCCCTAGGAGATATTCTTGACCCAGTGATTGAACCCATGTCTCCTGCATTGACAGGTGGATTCCTTGCTGCTGAACATACAGGGAAGCCACACTCTTTGGATACCTTGGACCATATCTCATTCAGCAGTTCTTCACAGACAGTTTCTAGATGCCCAGTACACACATGTCCCTGACTGTTGACATGATTACCCAGGTGGTAGAGGAACTCCTTGGCCACATTCAGCCCTCTATGTTGGACAGTGCCAGATGATACAGACCGGATCTTCCAACTTAATGAACTGGAGGAAGAGAACCGTCAGATATCCCTGAATTAAGGCTGGCCTCCCAGCCTAAAGTCCCTAGAAAATTTGCTTACTGAGAAAGGTGACCCAGGAGAAAGCCTAGCAACTTCTGGCCATTCCTGTGTCTGTGAAGGCTGAGATGGCTGATCAATACCTCATGACATGCATTAACCCATTGGCTGCACATTAGCTGGGAAACTCTACCTTAAGTGTAGAGATTATGGTTTTTCTATCTGATTCTTTTCTCCAGCTCCTATGCTACTATAGTGCCAGGAATGTGGTGGAACTTAGTGCTCAATAACTGGACATTAAATAAATTTATAAAAGAGTAGGTATAGTCATTGATAGGTTTTACATGCTATGATAGTTTTAACCTTTCATTATTTAAAAAAGTCTCCCAATAAAAGGAAGTGGTTATAATTGAAATTAATTTTTAAAATAAATAGCCATCTTCCTATTTGTTAAGTTTTAGAACATCCATAACCAGGGAAAAATGGAAGTTTTGTGTGTGTGTGTGTGTGTGTGTGTGTGTGTGTATGTGTATGTGTGTGTGTTTGTGTGTACTCAGTCATGTCTGACTCTTTGTGATCCCATGAACTGTAGCCTTCCAGGCTCCTCTGTCCATGGAAAAGTCCAGGCAAGAATACTGGAGTTGCTTGCCATGCCCTTCTCCTGGGGATCTTCCTAACCTAGGGATCGAACCTGTGTCTCTTGTGTCTCCTGCATTGTAGGTGGATTCTTTACCAACTGTGCTACTTGGGAAGTCCATGTAAAATAGATAGCCAGTGGGAATTTGCTGTAGGGCCCAGGGAAGCATTACCACAACTAAATTGTCAGACCAATATTTTTTTCCCTCCACTAATACAGCGAGCATAGATTCTATCTTAATACTGAAAGTGAGAAGTACTTTGAAATCTCTCAACTGTGTACAGATATATTCTGCAGTTGGAAACATCAAACACCAGGCTGACAGCTAACATCACAGACATTTGAACACAAACAAAAGGTGGATATGATTTGATGATTTGTTTATTTTTCAAAGTTCTGAGAAAAATGCATGGACATTTCATTTGGCTAACAGAAGACAAAAGGCCGTGCACATATACCATTTCTCATCTCAAATGGGCACGTTTTCTACTGTTCTTGTTTTGTCTTGTGACTGTTCTACATTGCCTTGAAATATATCTGCAGTCTGTTTTTCTAAAACTGGTATTTCTTAAAAAGCTCAGCTTCAAAAATGTCAGACATAATGAAAAATGAAAATCACAAAAGAGAAGGTTGTTCACAGCCCCTCCCCTGGGGTTCCCTCATGTTTCTGGGTCACCATGCTGACTCTCCCTGGGTAGAAATAACATCCATGGTATACTTAGCGGGAACCCCTTGTGATCAGGGTCACAGTGGTCTCCAAATAAACAAAGCCAATCCTCTCCTTGAAGACAATGAGCATCTGTTCAGAAAAATTCCACACCATCCACCAAAGCAGCTCCAAAAAGAAGTTCTCCTTTCAAAGCATAAGGGAAAAAAGAAAGCTCCTTTGGAAAAAATTATAAAAGAGCACTTTATTTTCATCTTGTGGGGCTTGAGCAGATGAAGGGCATGGAAGCAGACGACTGCCAATGAGGGAAGGGGATTTGGCTGAATTTGATGAAGACCGTCTGAGGGAGGCAGTGAATAAGCACTGAGGTTCTGATGAAGTGAGGACCGACAAGCTCAGATCAACACAAGAGGAGAAACAAATGGCACAGAATCTCAGAGGATTAAAGCCAGAAATGACCTTTAAAGGTGATAAAATACATTTCTGGTTAAAAGAAATAATAAAAGAAGAAAAAAATCCATTCCTATGTCTTCAGATGGGGCAACTGAAGTCAAGAGAGAAGTAGCCTACGCAAGTTTCATCCTATATGTGTTTCTATGCTTGCATTATTAATATTTATATCACTGATTATGTTAGCTACTGCTAAGCTTGTGCTCTTGTACCAAATCCTGTGAAGAAGTGTTTAAAATCTTATATTCTGGAATTGAAGAGGACCAAATTTGAATACCAAGTATACCACTTATTATAGATATGTGACCTTAGATTATGTAATTTACCTCTCTCAAATGCAGCTTCTTTATTTGGAAACTTTGAAATATTAGTAGCTTTCTCACTGGTTGTGCTGACAATTAAGTAGAAGATGTAGATAATAAATTTAGCAAGACACCAGGCATATGATAAATGATCCAAAATATTATTAATTATATCAACTGTAGTGAATTATTATTATATTTATGTATTATTTAATATTTTATATTAACTTAGTATTATTTCATATCAACTTATATCAACTTGTTTTTATCTTTGTATAAATATTCAATATTATATACTTATTCCAATATTTATGTTTATATGAATATAAATTTTATTTGCTACATGCTACTGAGAAGGATGACAATCATATACTTAATCTAAAATTCTCATAAGCAAATGACCAATCATAAAATGGGCAGAAGACCTACATAGACACTTCTCCAAAGAAGACATTCAGATGACCAACAGGCACATGAAAAGATGCTCAGCATTGCTAATTATTAGGGAAATGCAGATCAAAACTACAGTGAAGAATCACCTCATGCGAGTCAGGATGTGCTTGTGTGCTAAGTCACTTCAGTCATGTCCAACTGTTTGTGACCCTATGGACTGGAGCCCACCAAGTTCCTCTGTCCATGGGATTCCCTAGGTGAGAGTACTGGAGTGGGTTGTCTTGCCCTTCTCAATGGGTCAGAATGGCCATCATCAAAAGGTCTATAAATAATAAATGTCGGAGAGGGTTTGGGGAAAGGAAATCCTCCTACACTATTAGATTGTAAATTGGTGCAGCCCCTATGGAAACAGTATGGATGTCCCTCAAAAAACTAAAAATAGAGTTACCATAAGATCCAGCAATTCCACTCCTGGGTCTATATCTGGAAAAGATGAAAACTAATTCGAAAAGATACCTGCAGCTGAGTGTCCATAACATGACTATTTATAGTAGCCAAGACATGAAAACTACCTAAGTGTCCATCAGCAGATGAATGGTTAAAGAAGGTGTGGCACATATATACAATGGAATACTACTCAGTCACAAAAGGACAAAATAATGCCATTTGCAGCAATATGGGTGGACCTCGAGATCATTATACCAAGTGAAGTAAGTCGGACAGAGAAAGACATATTATATCACTTATATGTGGAACCTAAAAAACACTACAAATGCACTTATTTACAAAACAGAAACAGATTCATAGAGTTAGAAAACAAGCTTCTCTTTTCCAAAGGTAAAGAGAGGAGGAGGGGGTAAATTTGGAGTTTGGGATAAACAGACACATGTTACTATATATATAAAATAGATAATAATATAATATATATAATATAAGATATAATACAATATATTATAATAATACAAATAAACAGCAAGGAATTACTGTATAGCACAGGACATATAAAACCTATAATGGAAAAGAACATATATATAACTGAATCTCTTTGCTGTAGACCTAAAAGTAACACAATGTTGTAAATCAACTATACTTCAAAAAAAAGAGAAAAGAAAAGAAAATTCTTATTTTAGTCCCTAGGGAATTTCATTTTGGCAGACTATCAACTATTTTTCATGGGGTGAGTACAAAATCTGTAGTTTCAACTAGTTCACTAATAAAAACTCTAAATAAATAGCAGTTTTTACAAGGTTATTGTGAAGATTAAGTAAGATATTATATATATGGTATATGACATTTTGTCTAATTTCATATATGAAAGTATATGAAAAATACTGTTGTCTCAAAAAGTCTCATAAGCAATAGCAGCTTTTGTGCAGAGCTATTGTTATAGGTATTAATATACAACATTGGATTCAATGCTTTAAATATTGAATATAGTAAATATTGATATAGTATATGTTCTATATATGCAGTCACTGCAACTTTTCCTAGCTTTCATGAATATTGTACTTTCTACTCCCATCTTGATACTTGTAACAGACCCTGGAGTATCTGCGTTTCTCCTAATTCTCAAATGCACACTGTGCAGTGATTTTATAAAGGGAACTCACACAGAGAAGAAACACCAGGCAGTCCAGTTAAAACCCAAACTCTCATTGCTTCCAACAAGTAGCCTAAATGGCCAAACGCCCGTCACAGCTTTCGAGAGGGCCATTCTGTCTGCCAGCTTTGTTCCAAATTGTTTCATTTGGAAACATCCATGGCACATCAGTGTGCTGCTGGCATGCCTGAAGTGAATCTGACTGTCAAAGGCATGGGTCCTTCCTCAGCTGCCAGCTTGGTTCACAATATCCTAGGGGATAATGAGAACCAATTTCTAACTGGATTATATGTTCAAATTCAGAAGCTTCTTCATTAGGCAAGGCTGCTTATGAGTATTATTTCAGTGGGACCTATGTGAACAGAAAGTGCCAGGAACTGGGAAGGGTATGAGATTTTACCCTTCCTGTAAGCCAACAAGCTCATCTGTCACAGTTTCACAGAGGTTGGCAGAAAACACAAGACTTGTGGGTCAGAGACAGTAGACTCGGTCACAGCATGGAAGACAACATGAGCTTCATGTTCCTTCTGGTTTCGCCTGTCCCCAGAAGGTATGGGGCAATGCAGAACTGTATGTTATACATGGGGCTTCCCAGGTGGCATTAGAGAACCCGCCTGCCAGTGCAGGAGGCATAAGAGATGCAGTTTCAATCCCT